TCTCAGTGTACGGAAAATCCCGAGTTCCCATAGGCAAAAAAACAAGTCCATTCATCCGGTCCTACCGAGGGCGCCGGTTCAAAAACTCTCAGTGTCCTATGCAGTCCAGACATCGAATCAGGTCTCGAAATCTCCGCCAAATCAACCGACCCCACCAAGGTCGCCGGTTCAAATCTCAAAGTTCCTGCAATGGCCCAGACAAATTGCTGCATTTCTGGTCTTTTTTTTTCCTTCTTTTTTTTTTTTTTTCCTGAAAGGGCGGTGGGGCCTATGCAATGACCCAGACAAATTGCTGTCTGAGATTTCTGAAATTTCTGAGAAAATGCTGCGCTTTTGGTCATTTTTGTGAGAGTTCGGAGTCTGAGGGGCTCGTTAGACACTCCTCGGGGGACGCGTAAAGTCCCCGGGGAAATTATCGTTCCACCTATCCTCGGAGATAAAAAGAAAAAAAAAAGAGAAAGCATTTTCTTCGGGAATCCTCGGGGCGTCCTCGGGCTACAACCATTTTGTGCCCTTCCCCAAGGTGCCTCCCAAGGTCCCTCGGAGGTCAAGGATCCGCGATAATCGGAGCGGCGAGGGCACCCATCGTCGGCAAGAAATTTTCGTCGGCTGGTCCATTGGAATACCTACCGGCCACCGCACAGACATATTGGGTCGTCAACGTTCGGCTTCCAGGATCCTTACGCCAACGGTAACCGTTAGTGGCCGGGCGGCCTGCGTGAACGTCTTCAACCGGTGCTCCCCCTCACAATTCGTGCCGCCAAACGGAAGGGACTTCAACGGTCGGCAAAATTGAATATTTTAGCTGACCCGCCTTTCGATTCCCCACTGTACTCGGCGACGTAAAATGTTAGAGGGTATTTGTCGGATGCTGCGGTCTGCCGTTGGCTGCCCTCTTCGTCACCGTTTGGTGGAGGTGTACCGACGTCGTGTAGTTACCACCCTTCCCTACGTGTCGTTCATGGCCGACATCTTTCGAAGGTTGCAGCTGCTGCTCCTGGTAATCATTTTGTTTGTCCTTCTAATCATCTTCCACGTCTCCATCCTCGGCAGGCTGTTTGGACGCACATGCAAGAGGCGTCATCATGGACGGACGGCAGGTGAAGAGCAGGTCTTCAATGGACCACTCCGCAAGCCACCACGCAGACCACGTCCCGACTCACAGTGCAAGGGCGTACAACCAGTTAGAGTGCGTGTGCCGTATGCTGTCCTCTACCGTCTGCTCCCTTCAGCGTCGCCATTCGGTGGACCTTCACCGTCGTCGTGGAGTTATGGCCCCGTTGTACGTGTCGTTGATAGCCGACACCTATTGAAGGTTGTCACTGCTGCTCCTAGTCACGGTTTTGCTTTTCGTGGTCCTCCTGTGTCACGAGTGCATCCTCTATCGTTAATGGCCGACCTCTATCGAAGGGCTCCAGCAGAGAAGATGAGGGATCGACACCGACTAGAGTTGACATTGACATCCGCAGCATCCCGTGGACGTTCA